CCCCCACACCCCACCCATGACTCCTGCAGGCTCTCGGCAGAATGACTGAAAGTGAAAGTGAAACTTAAACTGTGTGCTGCTCTCAACACTACTTCTCACTAAGTGAAGCTCTTTTCAGATTCAAAATACCTTTGAGGAAATGTATTTTCATGTGCGAACACCCCCCCACCCCCGCAATGAACGGGATGGGACAGAAGCAGAAGGAGGTTCTTAAAGAGACAGAGGCCAATTTCAAGGAGTTTAGAAGAGGAAATGATGAGTAGAGATGTTTATTTTCTATTTAAGCATTACTTTAATATAAACTTTATTATAGTATAGTATTTAAATGTATGCCTGAGAAACACATAATATTGGCCCTTTAAAATAAAAGTAAATAAAAATATCTTAACTGAACTTTTTTGAAAAATTTGCACATGAAAGCACAAAGTCAGTTCAAGAAGATAATTTCCAGCAATAATACAAAGTTGTAAAGCTTCAGATGTTAGTGTTTATTTGACTTGTTATAAACATTAGACCAGTTGCAGACAATAAACGTCATCAATCATGTGATCTGAAATTAAAACTTGTAATATCTCAGAAACTATAGCAGCACAAACGAAGCACTAACCACTCAGCCTGTATGCCAGGATGGAGGGGTCAGCTTCACTCAGTTATACAGACCTTAGAGCTGGGGCTGAGACCCTTACCGTGAGTCATGAAGCACCACTCTGAGGGTCTTGAGATGAGCAGCTTCAGGCCTGAATGAATGAAGAGTCACTCCTGAAGACTAAGAAAATCCTCTGAGGATCAGAGATGAATCATGTTCAGGATTAGCAGTGATCAGCAGCACGGCCTTGTTCTTAATAAAAAATAAAAACAAACATTTGAAAAGGGTCCTTCTGACCCAAAGGGTGTACTGAAGAAACTTAAGCCTGAGTATCGATGACAGATTGTTCAGTGTTGTCTCTACTCTGGTTTTTAACATGACCTTTAATAGCATGTATATTACTGTATTTTTTTTCTATAAAGACAAGAAAAATGAGTTCAGACGAAAATCAATAACTTCTTTCCCTCTCTGCACCAACAGGTGTTCTGTGGAACCTCTCCTCGTGCGATGCGGTAAAGATGACCATCATTCGTGACGCCCTATCCACCCTGACCAACACGGTCATCATCCCCCACTCAGGCTGGAGCAGCGTGTCCCACCGTGACGAGCACAAAGTCAAGTTCCAGTCCTCCTTGCTGCTGCGCAACACCACCGGCTGCCTGAGGTCAGCCCCGAGTCAAACATGCCATGACATTCATTTTTATTAGGTTTCATTTTTTTTCAGCCTGCTGATTTTCATGTGTAAAAAGTTTTACATCGTGTACAATTGATGCAAAATTTCTTAGGACAAAGTGACCACACCCCGTTGAAT